CTCCTCCCCTGCCCCTCAGGGCCTCGGCAGACCCCGCTCCCCCTTTGTCACCGAACCACAAAGGTCCTGGGCGGCCCGGGGGAGGCGGCAGCTCCCTCCGCCCCCGCCGGCAAACTCGGTGGCAGGGATCGGGGCAGGTCTGGGCCTTTTTTTTTTTGTTTTCTGGTTGTTTTTTTGGCTTTTTTTTGAGGTGGGGGAAGGTTGGGTTGGTTTTTTTGAGTCAGCAAAGTTGCATGTGTGTGTGGGGGGGTTTCTTTCCCCAGCGAAAATGCGTTTCGTGGGGGAAAACGGGTCGCAAAGGAGGTGTGAAAGGGGCCGGGGCCCAGGCTGCCCCCCGGGGACGGAGCAAGGCTTTCCCCCGGTGTTTAACGGGCTGTGTGTAACCTCCGTGTCATCACTTTTAAGAGCAATTAAGAGGAGCTCTCCCTCTCGCCCTGCAGGGCTCTATCGGCCCTTCCAGCGTTCAGGCCGGGCGGGTGAGGCAGCCGGGGAAGGTTTTAAGGGCAAAAAGAGGCAGAATGAGGACTGGGTATGTGGTTTGTAGGTTGGGGTTTGTTTGGGGTTTTTTTTCCCCCCTCCCTTCACCCAGCGCTGTCGGTGTTATCCCACCCAGGGTCGCGCACGGCCGGAGCGGGCCCGGAGCTGTTCCCGGAGGACCCCGCTGTGTGCCTGGCCGCCGCCGAGACCGCTGCCGCGCTTCCCCGCGTGAGTACGACTGCGGGGACGGGAGAGGGGGAGCGGAGGCGGCGGGACCGGGACCGACGGGCGGGCGCTGCCGGGGCCGTGAGGGGCCGGGGTGGGCGGGGGGGAGCGGAGCGCGGCTCGGCGCCTCAGCGCTGACAGGGCGGGGCGGGGCCTGCGCCCGGAGTGACGGGAGGGGGGCGGAGCCTGTTCCCTGAGTGATGGGCGGGCTCATCGTGACAAGGTGGGGAGGCGGGGCCTGAGGAGTGAGTGACAGGACAAGGGGCGGGGCCTGTGCCCTGAGTGGCGGGGGGGGAGGGGATAGCGGTG